CAGGGTCGCCTCACTCTCCAGTGAGATGCTGAGGGGAAAAAGTTCTCCCGGCAGTAGACATAGACCGGTCTGTGTTCAGTGGTCGGGGGTTTTTGCAGCCGCTATCGTGGAAAAATGAAATAACTGCAGACTTCTTTTTCTCACGTACACTTAGGACGTTCATGACGGATGGGCCTGAACCGTTAAAATCCATTGTTGGAATAAAGAAATCCTTGGGTTCATTAATAACTCATTTAAACAATGCTGGCAAACCTTCTTACAATACTGACACAATCAATTTAGTTGTTTCTTCCTTTGGTTCCCGCTGAGCAGATTAAACATTTGACCCGTACTGTTTATCGGATGGTTTTAATTAAGACAGTGTTATATTCATTCAATCAGAGTACAGCCTCTTTTCACTGGAAACACACAAATTGACCTGTATTTAAAGAACGCATGGACCGGCTAGTTTTCTTTCACTGCTTTTAGGAGGCGTATCATAATTTCCAATTAAAAGTTTAAAATAGCACAGAGGAAACCAGAACGCCAGCTAGCCACACTTGTGGCTGCAAGAATCTTGCACCATGATGTTTCTTCTATTCTGGACAGATTTGGTAACTGAGATGGAGAACGACGTTTACATTTTCTTAACACTTGCATTGTGGATGGATCATAACTTAATTGGGTGACCTTCAAGCAACTTTAGAGCTTAATGTCTAAATGAAGTGAAGTTGGATCTGCTTTATCTGGAGTAGTGGACAGTTTCCTCAATTTAGAAACATGACAGTCTCCTACGCAATTTAATTTAATAGGTTTGTGATATTGCTGACTCAATGTTTTATTCTTTCAACTTAAAAGAGGGACAACCAGGAGCTTCAGCTGACATCTTCAAGGAGACAAAATCCAGCATGTGACTGTTTTTGTAACAGCTACCGACTGGATCTTAAATATCCCAGAGCCCCAAACTGAATTCACCTGCAGTAGAGTAGCTTCAGCGCTCCATCAGCGGGCCACCCGACAGAAAGCTAGCGCTCTGCGATCAGATAATTCTTCTCTCTGCATCTTAGGAATTGAAGTTGACTTTTGTGGAGAGGATGCAGTATTAAAAGCCTCAGAAGGGCTTCAACTGTCAATCAACCCACTTTGCCTTAACTGTAACAAATTGCTGTAAATTTACGGTGCATTTCTAACAGTATCTTACAGTATGTCATAATAACTGTAACATACAGTTACATTTCCATCCCTTGCTTGTAAATTAACGGCCAATGTCATGAATAAACAGTTAAAGCTGTCAATTTACAATAATAGCAGACTACCGTAATCCAACTGCATGTTACATATATTTTATTAAGTGGTGGAAATACACATACAAGTGCAGTGAATCACAATCCATCTACATCTGTTGTAGGTTAATGTATGGAAGCCCATGTCAGCCACTGAAAAACAGGTCCTGTAAGTCATCATAATGAGATAGTATCTCATGAGATACGATGATGACTTTGATCAAGTGAAGTGTTCATTGCCTAAAAGTCATTTGAGTGTTAATCGTGGCCGACTGCTCCTGAACGTGACGTCAGACGCGTAATCTCAGTTCATCCAGAACACCTGTGCAGTTCAACATGGGAGGAGTTTCTCATTGCCTAGTCTCTCCAAGTAACGTTGGTAAGTGTTATTTGTCTAGCATGATTAACATTCTCCTTCATTACATCTTGTTGTCTTCCTCAACTTTGTAATTTTAATATTTTACCAATGACAGTGTTTCTAAATATTTTATTTTGGTTTGTTTTACAGAGGCACTGGATTAAGGACGCCAGCCGTTTGCTGCGGTCAATTGAAAGTGTTCCATAGCATATTGCTGCAGTTAGTTTACCTTCTTCCTAATGATTTAATGATTCATTTTTTTATTATTGTATAAATGCGGCATATTTTATGTTTTGTTCTCGGTTACAAATGCCTAACATTTTTGTCTCAAAGCATCTAATAAACTCCAACTACTATGACCGAAATGAGTTTGGTCGTCTTTCTTTAATTTGTGGGGAATTAAATGCAAAAGTATACGGTTATAAGTAAACGGTAACATTCTGGTATTTATAACACAAAAACAGTAATCGTATGGTAACAAACTGTAATCCAATATACGACAACATACCGTAATTTACGGTAGGGCACTGTAAATAAAACAGTAAATTACTAGCGTCGACTGTCAGTAAATTGCAGTTAATTTACAGTAAAATTGGTTCAAGTTTACGGTAACATATAGTAATCCATTTTACGGCAACATAGTGTAAAAACCATGTACGGTATTATACCGTAAAATAACGGTCAATTCCTGGCGTCCTTGCTGCCAGTAAAATACCGTTAATTTACAGTGAAATGTGATGAGTGTTTGTAAAAGAATAACGCCGACTGACGCCGAAAAAATAAAATAGTTATAATGACACAGTCACTTGTCAGCATTGATGAATCAACGTGTGATGAAGGCCACGCTTCACATCACACCTCAACGGCCACCGTGAGACTTTCCTAGCAAAGCCCCGACTTTAAACTGTTTGTCTGCGTCATTATCCGGTGAATGCACAATGCACCTCTGTATCCTTTCTACCCTGCATTTGTGTATACGTGAACGACTACATGCGTTTACACTGGGCCCCGTGACCCCTGTGACCCCAGTTCTCCCCTTAATCTCGTAATCTTCAGCAGAACAGCCGCCTCTGTGATCATTGGCAGGTCTGGCGCGTTGCATACCTTCCTCCAGTGGCCCGGGGAGGGGATCATATCTGCAGGTAATCCGCATCCCCCACCAATATTTGCTGCCGGATTTTTCTAATAAGTCCTAGACCAGTGCATTTGGGTGGGCAAGGGGGGGGGGGTTAAAAACACAGCCTTCTAGGGGGAAGTGAAGCCAGGCTGCATAAATAAGAGCGATGGTATAAAGAGAGCTCCCTGTGATGACCTACCTGTATGATTGGGAAGCTGAGATGCACCTTCAGTGTTATATAAGTGCCAACAAATCACAGCCTTACAGGAAAAGGCTTTGTGAGCACTTTAACAGGAACAAAGGTCGTGTCAGTGCAATGAAGCAAGCTTATATACTTTAGTTAATACGCCCGCAGACAAGGTGCAGCTACAGCTTTGTTGTGATATGCCTGAGTCTACATGCATGGATGGATGAACACCATTCATTGAACTTAGTCTAAAAAATGCTGCTCTGTTTAATACAGAACATAAATCATCTAAGAAATCCCAGCTACATCTCCTATAAAACACATTTCTGTGTAAACATGCTTTGACAAATGACTTTGGGAGTAAACACAATGCTGTCAAATGGCAGGTGGCATTTCTATACCAATGTCTTTTCCTAATAACTGTGCAACCTTTTAGCCATGTGGCAAACACATGAATATGATGTATGTGGTGTTATTGAAAGGTAATAACCCTCAGCGGCGGAGGAAGGAAGTGTTCACATTGTTTAGAACCACAACACACAAAACGTACGCTTCAAGTGGCCTCAGACTTTTGTCCGAATCATTAATGTGACAGATGGTTCCTTCACAGCCCTCGCTGATATCTTACGGGGTAATCAGCTAACGCTTGCCAAGTCGAGTACGGCCGGGGGGACATAACTCTCTCTGCAACTACTACTAAACATGCCAGACAGGTCTGCCCCCCCCCCTCCCCCTCTCTCCCCACCCCTCCCCTCCCTCCCTTAGATCGATATCAAATTGTCTCACATAGCATCAGCAATCAAGCACGCCAGAACGGTGAGCGCTCAGTCAAAGGTCACGGGCGGCCTGGCCGGCTTCGCCCTCAGCCAACGTGTGATCGCTGTTTTCAAAGACTTCTTTGACAAGTTCAACCTCTCGCCCCCCCCCCCCCCCCCCTCCCCTCCACCCCCAACCTCTCCCCCTCCCCCCCTCTCTCCCCTCGATGCTGTTTTCCTTTCTCTGCCGGCCTGATTAAACCCGGAGATCCCGGCGGGAGGCTCTGGTTTCCCAGCCCGACTGTTACTGTAGTGAAGTCAGCGCTGCGTGTCCTCACACAGTCAAACCCACCGGCTGTGGAAGGCCGAGTAATGAATGAAGTTTGAGAGGAACAACATCTGCAGCGGGCAGACGCCTTTCTACTTTCTACTGGAACATGTCCTGTTGTCATGTTGCTGTTTAAATCCATATATCAGTCCATTAAAAATGATTTACGGAGCTTTTGTGGTAGTTTATAAATGCTGCACTAACTTTAACTAACATTTATAAGAAGAAGATTAGAAGAATCATCATCATGCTTTGCCTTTATAGCTGTAGCTCTGTCTTCAAAACAAAAGACTATTATGATGGATTGAGCTTTTTTTAAAAAGTCCTCTGGTGGAAATCCTGGTTTATAACAAAAAGTAAGTGTCTGAGAGAAGGAAAGCTAATTGAGAGTTGCTAAGACACTCGACTAGGTGAGCATGTTGTGGGTGAGAAACAATCAAGAAGATTCCATGATGAGAAGCCGATGGACATGAGTCAGTGCAACATTGGAAAAACTATCGCTTTTTTGAACTTTAAAAGATGGCCTCATAGCTCCCAACGACACACTGTAATAACAACCAGAACGCAATTGGTGAATTACGAATGATGGCAGGACATCAGATATCGGTGGTAATTCTTCACTAAATACACCTCAACTTCAGTCGTAGAGTTCTTGCATCTGATGGTGCAGCTGTGTGCAGCTCTGATGGGACACGCCACTGCTGCATGAATGGAACCTTTTTTTTGTGATCAGAGGAAAACTTCCCCCGGTGGACAAGGAATCTCAGGGGGTTTCCCCCCTTAAACATACACGGGTACACTTTAAAGGGTAAAAGGTAATCCTGCACTTCCTATGGCTGGATAATGCAGTTTAAAGTGAATGAAACGCTCCCATTCATTGCAGTTTGAACTGAAGCAAGATGTGCGTTTAAAAATAATGGTTCCAAGCACTTTGCTGCGCGTGTGAGAGAGTTCATGTTCTAGATGTTTAAAAGAGAAACTATGACGACTCACCGTTTTGCTCTTTTACACTTGGGGGCTGAAACTTGCTGACGTGACTTGATTCAGCTTCCGTGCCATATTGTTGGAGAAGCGATGCAAGGAGGAATATGAATGGAAGGATCATTTGGATGATGGTGGTTGGCGATCACAAAGCGCTGTTGACAGGATGGTTTGTATCACCACGCACGTGCGTCGTTTACGGGACACCAGTGCTGTTTCGGACACATTTGGAGAGGGTAAAGGCAGAGTAGAATCCACATAATCTTTATCAGTCCTTCTGGGAAAAAAGTGAAAGTTATATCTCCCTAAATCAAGACAAATCCGCATCCAAAGCCCGCAGAAGTCGCCACTAACGCGCGGTGCGCACCTGTTGGTACTGTGAAGAGTCGGTCACACTAATCCTGGGTTTAGTTTGTCATTCGTCCATATGTGGGCATATCATCTACAGCACGAGATCATTTTGAAAAGGCGAAGATGCATTTTGGCTAAAGCGCGCGTCCGCGGTGCGTTCCTGACTCCGTCTGGATAAATCCGGGTCGATCTTTACGCATTACAGCAAAACAGCTCGAGCAGAGACGGCGAGAGAGTTCAGCAACCTGATACTGTCTGCACCCCGAAAGCACCCGCAACGCCGAGACGGCCTCTGTTGTCCTGCGCGGGTCTTGAGCAATAACTTGGAGGAGATAAAGTGTCGCTGCTCGGCCGCGGTCCGGTATGCGCACACTGCCAACAGTCGGCACAACAGGTGCTGTACATAAAGTGCAACTTCCCAGCAGAGGAAACTCCCCGGCGGGTTAACTATTGCGCTGCTGCTGCTGCGTGGTCCAATGGGCGGTTTCACCCTCTTCCAGTGACAGATTGTCCAATGTAGGTCCACGTGGACAAAGAGGCACATCCAGATAAATGAGCAGCTGCGCTCAGTCTGTAATGGAAAAGGAAGTTGATACAAAGGAATCATTAATATACGTCTTTACAGATTGTTGAGTCCTTTCTTCAAAAGTGAGAGAAACCCTCAAAAACCAGATTGAAGTGGACATTTATGGAGCTTAATACAAAAAAAGACTAACACCGTTTGGAATTATTGGATCAATTCTGCGCTTTTGAGTGAATTTCCTCCCAAGGTTGAGAAGATTTAGTTTTATTCCAGGTAGAATAGTTGAATCTCAATCCAAAATATTATACCATGTCATCATAATATATAAGCAAAAAGAAGCCTTTTTGAGGAAGGACAAATATGCACTTGCATCTATTAATATTGGGCTACATCAGTGCTACATATTTTACCCACATGGTCCCTCAAATTGATTACATGGACATAGTTAAACAATGATGTGTGCAGTGCAGAACCTCACCAGGAAGCGTAGCCTGTCAAAAGGAAACTATTAAGTAGTCGTGAGCTTGTTTGAATTGAATAATTGTTTAAAGCCATGATTTATTGTCCACATATAAAGGGATGAAAGATAGATGCGTTCCAACCCTCCAGACTCTTCAAAACGCAAGGAAATGTTTAAGAGCTTCTCAATTTGTCACATCAAAGCAGAGACGCTGTTTCCTTTCGCTGATGTACCTCATCAACAGCGTTTCATGTGGTTCCTCCAGTACTATTGTATGGCAAAATCCGCTGAGCCCCCCCCCCCCCCTGGTAAGTCTGGGGCAGACACAACAATCAAAGGGGAGCTGGAGACATATTGAATCCATTGAGCCAGACACATGATGCAATGCTGCAGCAATTCCCCCCCCCCAGTCTCACATAGCTGAGAAACTACCGCCTCAAAGAGAGCTGAAGAGCGGCCATCTCCCCACCATCAAGGTTTGAAGGTCCTGTGGTTTTAATCAGTCTATATCTGGGGAAAGAAAAGCGCCGGGCACGGACAGGGACATTTCATACGTGCGTTGCCCCGTGCAGAGGGGCACGCGGAGGTCTTCTTGTGCCTGCTGCAAGGGCCAAGGCCCTTTGTGTAAAGGAGAGTATCACATTCCAGCCCTGCAAGGGCCTGCAGCAGATGTCAGCACTTCACAATGTGGAATCCCTCTCTCTCCCTCTCTTTCGCACACACATAACACACTCCTTCACCCCCTGAGGTTTTGTCTGTAAAAGCTGGGTATTTTGTCTCGTTGTCCACGTTTGATTGCTGCTTCCACGGTGGTCTCGGGAAACGTGGAGGCTTTGATACAAAGAAATATAATAAACAGAGGAAATTAGAAACAAGGCAGACCTTTTTGGGTCAGGGCTAACACACAGAGGCATGCCAGCCAGGAGGGCTCTGCGTCCGCCGAGCGGACTGGAGATGGAAATGTATACAATGGGGAGCTCTCAGTCGTCGGCTCGGGGCTAAATCCCATTAGACTCGCTCGCCTTTTTGGGACACACAAACAAATGCCCTCTCCCACAATCTGCCCGCGTTACACTGCACATCTGTCACTTTCTCTGTTCCATGTGACATGAGGTGAAGCACAAGGGAGAGGACACGACGGCCACATCCGGGTCGCCGCTCATCTTGAGCGGTCTTGAAGAAAGGAAAAGTTGGAGGAGTCAAGGAAAATGTGCCAGCGGAGGAATTTAGAAATAAAATACTCACATTTCTTCTGGATTTACAGCAAATTGAAGTCTTCTACACTCCTTGTGATGCCTGATGAGTTCTTATCATTGCATCACTGACACAAGGTTGAGCTTTACTAACTTCAGCTTACACACGCTGTTATATTAGACAGCCGTTCTATGAATATTAAAGCCTTCTGCTTAAGTGATTGATAATTGCCCCTGGCTGCACTTGGCTTTGAAACCAGAGCCCCCTGGTGGTGCCCCCCGGAGCCACAGTCAGTCAGGCAGCTGCCCCTTGGACGCTTGTTAAAGCCACGGGGGGAAATGTCTCAGGTATGGACAAGACACTGTTAGTCTTTTAATGGAATCGTCCATCCATGGAATCCCTATTCTGCTTCTCCTCTTCGGCTTTGCATTATGAAGCCTCATGTTTAAGCATTTCAACCTCCAGAAACACCAATCATCTGCACACTACAGGCGCTGTGTGGTTCTTATTCAGTCCCTGGATTGTAGTGGCCTCTGACTCAGAAAGCCCATAATTGTGTCCTTTTTTTACAGCTATATATACGTTAACATATATTTAGCATATAAGAAATGCTTCATGTCCACATCCTCAACAGGAAATGGAAATTAAACAAAAGTTAAATTTCAAACAGCCCCTTTGAGTTTTCAATCATTCACTGGGAGATCTTGGGAGTCCAGTTTGTCATTCAGAGTGTGTGCTGAGAAGGACAGTAACAGACATGGATGATCTTGTCGGACGCATTCATCCTTTACATTTGTTTCACAGCAGAACCTCGACTTCACTTGACTTCATCTCGGGATGCCGTGTGATTAAATGAAATAAGAGGACGTGTGCAGTGCGACACGCTGGGAGGAAAACAGCATGCGTGTGGGTATATCGTGATGTTGGAATAAAGTTAATGTTGACGAAATGAATAATGACATGCAAATCACTCTTTGTTTTATATCTATTTAATGTTTCATTCTTTGGAAGGATTCTCGTGCTCCTTGAGGATAGAGCAGCATTGCATAGGCCCGTCGCTGTGTGGAGATTAAAGCATCTGAGTTGGAGCATGTGAGCCAGAGCCAGTCAAGCCGGTTTTCTGCAATTTGGGTAACATAACCTTTTTTTTGTTTCTCAAACTGTCAGAATTTATTTTAAAAAATGAATCGCAGCAAGATTCTATATATTAATGATCTAAGCAGGAGTAATGATTTAAGCCTGACAACAGCTGATTGCTGTGTGACAGGAGTGAAAAGAAAGCTAATAAAAAAGGCACGAGGTGCTTGCAGAAAGAAAAAAAAAGCCTCATCTATAATTCAAAGGATGAATGTGCTGCCACGGAAAACCGGTTTGTTGTGTAACTCCCCTTGAGGATCAGATCCCATGATCAAAATCTTACTATTCGCAAATAACAGGAACATCTCCACACACTATTTAGTATTTCCTCCCTTGTTTCTTCATCTTTGTTCTATCTTCATCCCTCGTGCTTTCCATTAAAGTCTCTCTTTCTCCCACAGAGACTTTGACATCTCCTTTTTCCTCGTCCAAGTGAATTGCCTGGTCACTGGTCTGCAGTTGTGTCCATGAACCTCATCTGGGAAAGAACTACTCCTCCCTCAGCAGCGCATGTTCGGCACTGTTCGGCTGCAACGCTTGTGCAACTTCTTTTTCTTCTTCATTTGACTAAGAACCCGACAGCACGTATGACTCCCCCGAGCGATAAGTCCCATAGTAGAAATGCGTTCTGCTTGCCAGGTGTAACACCACAATAGATTTGTATTTCTGGGACGGCGCATGGTTCTCCATCAGACCCGTGGCTCTCAGCCTCCGAATATTTCTGCAAACACAAAAGGATCCTTGTGCTCCATCGCAAGCGTCTCGATTGTAACACCAGAACCGTGTGACGCAGATCATTAATCTCTATGCATATGGGGCGGATTTCATTTGTGTACGCGAATGGAACGCCCTGTCAGGCAAAATTGTACCACGGGGATCAACGGTGAGAGGCCGCCCAAGTTGTTTGACAGAAAGTGATGAATGAATGAGATGCAGATTGGAAAATGGTGGCAGAAAGATTGTGTTTTCATTTTCACAGGGAGAACAAAAGCTCCGGCTTAATGTTTCGAATCAACTTACAAAATGAATGAAAAATGGCACAAAGCGCTTCATGTGGAGAAGTAAGAACCAGCAGTAAATCCAGGCGCCTGCTGTGGGTTGTGTTACCGTATGCCAAATGTTTTGATGGAATTCTGTTACTTAGTAAAATGATGGCAATTTCAATCATCACCAAGATTAGCAACTCTACTTGAGGAATTTTTGGACTGGATTTCATTGGTCAAGAGTCTTTTTTTTTTTACCAGCCGTATGAATAAAATGCTGGAAAAGCTACGATTCAACATTCAAGCAGATTATAGCTGTTATTCTTAGACATTTCTTCTTTCCGTCTTATTTTTCAACAAGTTTTTCAAAATGTACGTTGATTTGTTGGAGGAAGCTCCATCATGTTTTTAGTTGTCAACATTACTTTAAGCTGATCAGTATTTCGCAGGGTTCTTTTTTCGTCAAGCATTGAGATCCCCCCCCAGCAGAAAGCTCAGCTCCCTACAGGATGCTTTGCACTTCAGAGGAACGTCAATCATGTGTGTCGCATAAAAATAGTCCTAGGACATTAAATCGATAATGAAACCATATAGAAAGTGATGATATTTGGGGAGCTTAAAACGGTTTGGCCCTTTGATGTCTCAATGTATGTATCAATGTTGATGATTGTTTTCATACTGTTAGATTGTCATTAATCAAAGATCAGTTTATTTATTCATTCATGTTGCTTTTTATTTTAGTTTTATATTCCTGGTGAAATGTATGAAATATAGCATTGTTCTTTATCTGGTGCAGTATCATTACATACATACATTACATATACATGTAATCATATCTTTACGCGTGGTAAATAAATAAATACAAAATAAGATGTATTTATTCATGTATTGATTCATCTCCCTATTAGAAGTGTATTAACAGAGCGGTGGAGGGCGACACATTTGACCTGAAACCCCTATTTTTTTTAAATAATTGACTTGTTATAGGGAATATATTTTGTCCATATTTGTTACATTGCAGCGTAAAAACCTTATTTTGAAAACCGGACGTAGTGACGCGTGTATCGCTCAGCTAGCTTCACCAAGTCAATCACCGTCATATAAAGGATCTTTTATATATATATATAGTTGATGTGTTGGAAACGTTTTCCATCGGATAACGAA